TTACAGAAGCTTCTCAGTTTCAGGAGGTCCCATTTATTAATTGTTGATCTCAGTGTCTGTGCTACTGGTGTTATGTTCAGGAAGCAGTCTCCTGTACCAAGTAATTCAAGGGTATTTCCCACTTTGTCTTCTAATAGGTTCTGTGTGGCTGGGTTGGTGTTGAGGTCTTTGATCTATTTGAACTTAAGTTTTGTGCATGACGATGGACTTGGATCTATCTTCAGTCTTCTACATGCCAGCATTCAGTTATGCCAGCACCATTTCTTGAAGATGCTCTCTTAATTCCATCGGATAAATTTAGATTGTCAAAATCAGGTGTTGGTAGGTGTGTGGGTTATTATCAGGGTTTTCAACTCTATTCCATTGGTCTACCTGTCTATTTTTGTGCCAATACCAAGCTGTTTTCAGGACTATAGCTCTGTAATAGAGCTTGAAGTCTGGATGCTTCCAGAAGATCCTCTATTGTACAGGGATGTTTGTCCTTAATTTCTTTCTTTAGAGAGTCAAAATTTTTATGGTACAGGTCTTTCACTTTTTTGGTTAGTGTTACTCCAAGGTATTTTATGTTGTTTGTGGCAATTGTAAAGGGTGATGTTTCTCTGATTTCTTTCTCCACCAATGTGTCATCCGTATATAGTAGGGCTACAGATTTTTTTGAGTTAATCTTGTATCCTGCCACTTTGCTGAAGGTGTTTATCAGCTGTAGGAGTTCCCTGGTAGAGTTTTTCGGGTCACTAATGTAGACTATCATATCATCTGCAAATAGTGAGAATTTGACTTCTTCCTTTCCTATTTGTATTCCCTTGATCTCCTTTTGTTGTCTTATTGCTCTAGCTAGAACTTCAAGGACAATATTGAGAGGTATGGAGAGAGTGGACAGCCTTGTCTTGTCCCTGATTTTAGAGGAATTGCATTGAGTTTCTCTCCATTTAATTTGATGTTGGCTGTTGGCTTGCTGTATATTGCTTTTATTATGTTAATGTATGTTCCTGTTATCCCTGATTTCTCAAAGACCTTTATCATGAAAGGGTGTTGGATTTTGTCAAGGGCTTTTCAACATCTAGAGAGATGATCATGTGTTTTTTTTTTTCCTCAGTCTGTTTATATGGTAGACAAATTGATGGATTTTCATATGTCGAACCATCCTTGCATCCCTGGGATGAAGCCTACTTGATCATGGTGGATGATTTCTCTAATGTGTTCTTGGATTAGATTTGCCAGTATTTTACTGAGTATTTTTGTGTCAATGTCATGAGGGATATTGGTCTGTAGTTCTCTTTCTTAGTTGTGTCTTTGTGTGGCTCCGGTATTAAGGTTATTGAAGCCTCGTAAAAAGAGTTTGGCAATGACCCTTCTGCTTCTGTTGTGTGGAATACTTTGAGGAGAATCTCTGGTAGAATTCTGTTCTGGAGTCATCTGGCCCTGGACTTTTTTTGGTTGGGAGACTTCTGATGACTGCTTCTATTTCATTAGGGGTTATAGGTCTATTTAAGTTGCTTATCTGTTCTTGATTTTATTCGGTAAGTGAAATCTGTCCACAAAATTGTCCATTTCCTTTAGATTTTTGAATTTTGATGAATATAGGTTTTCAAAGTATGACCTGATGATTCTCTGGATTTCCTCTGTGTCTGTTGTTATGTCTCCCTTTTCATTCCTGATTTCATTGATTTGCGTGTTCACTCTCTGCCGTTTGTAAGTTTGGATAAAGATTTGTCTATCTTGTTGATTTTTCTCTGAATAGCACCTCTTAGTTATATTGATTCTTTGTATTTTTCTATTGGTGAACTTCTAAGAGAGATGGGTATTTCTGGTTTTAATTACAGGATAGTAAGTGATATCCACTTAGATTTAAAATTCTAAGTGGAACCGGAATGACTAAATGAAGGTGGCTTTTAGCCAGAAGCTGGGTGGGTGGGTGGATAGGCAGGCCAGGTGACAGGGCAGTTCTCATCTCCTGAAAACTATGACTCAAAGATTTTGATCAACATCCAAGAGATGAACTATAGTGATGGAAGGCCCTGTGTCTGTTTGTCTTGGCTTCTGGCCAGGGAAGAAGACAGAAACAATTTAAGATATGTATTTATCATCAGTGATTTCATTGATGAAATAGCTTTTGCAAAAGCGTTACTTTCAATAGTCAACCCCAAATAGCTGCCCCTCTGCTGTTTGGCATTTTGTGTCTATGCACATGCTTCTCCTCTCCCCCAGGCTCCTACTCTCGGGAGATGGGTACCTGTTCCTCTGTGGCCTTCATTGCTGTTCTAGGAAGGCTGGCCTTTCAAGCATGCTTTAGGTTCCAGCAGATGAAGGTATCCGAACATAAAGTTTATTATTATTCTCCTCATCATATGGAACTGGGGACAGGGCTCATGGATGAAGTGCTTGAAGCACAAGCATGAATGCCTGAGTTTGGATCTCTAGAGCCACTATAAAAGCCATATGTTTCAATTACGCCTGTAATCCTTGGGGTTGAAGGGAAACAGGCAGATACTTGTGGACTTGTGGTCAGCCAGTGTAGCCAAAATGGAAAGCTGTAGGTTCAGTGACAGACACTGTCTCAAAAATTAAAGGTAGAGAGTGATAGTGGATGATAACTGACATTGACTTCTGGCCTCTACATGAGTACACACAGGCCACATACACATTTACACACACATGCATATATTTCAGAACACACACACACACACACACACACACACACACACACACACACACCCATCATCATCACCATCCACACCATCATCACTATCATCATTATCAGTGTCATCATTGTGGTCGTCATCATCATTATCTTCATCATCATCATCCCGGGGATTGAACCTAGTCCTTTGTGCATGCTAAGCAAGCATTCTGCCACTGAGCTATACCTTCCACCTCATAAATCTTTTTTTCCAGCTAAAAATGTGTATAATTTTATTCATTTTAACTTGTTTTATTAATTTATTTTTTACATTCTAATCCTAGTTCCTCCTCCTTCCTCTCCTCCCACTCCCCCCATCTTCCTCCACTCTCCACCTTCCATCTGCTCCTCAGAGAGGGTAAGGCCTCCCTAGGAAGCTTACTAAGTCTATCCCATCCTCTTGCTGGGGCAGGACCAAGGCACCTCTCCACTCCACACCCCTGTGTCTAGACTGGGCAAGGTATCTCTCCATATAGAATGGGCTCCACTAAGTCAGTTTGTGCATTAATTAGTGTTAGATCTTGGACCCACTGCCAGTGGCCTCATATATTGTCCTAGCTCCACCATTGTCCCCTATATTAAAGGAGTCTAGTTCAGTCTTATGCAGGTTCTCCATTTGTCAGACCTGAGTCAGTGATCTCTCACTAGCTTGGGTCAGCTGATTCTGTGGGTTTCCCCATCATGGTCTTGACTCTTTTGTTCATATCATCACTCCTCCCTCACTTTGATTGTATTCCAGGAGTTTGGCCCATTGGTTAGTTGTGGATTTCTGCATCGGCTTCCCTCTGTTTCTGGAAGAGGGGTCTAGCTTCTCTGGGGTTGGATTGAGGGCTGGGTATCTTTTGTTTTTTGTCTGGGATCCACTTATGAGTGAATACATACTATATTTGTCTTTTTGGGTCTGGTTTACCTCACTCAGGATGCTTTTTTCCTAGTTCTGTCCACTTGCCTGCAAATTTTAGGATGTCATTGTTTCTTACCGCTGGGTAGTACTCCATTGTGTAATTGTACCACATTTTCTCTATCCATTTTTCAGTTGAGGGACATCTAGTCTGTTTCCAAGATCTGGCTATTATGAATAATGTTGCTATGAGCATAGTTGAGAAAATTCCTTGTGATGTGAATGTGCCTCCTTTGAGTATATGCCCAAAAGTGGTATTTCAGGGTTTTGAGGTAGGTTGACCCCTAATTTTCTGAGAAATCACCATACTGATTTCCACAGTGGTTATACAAGTTTGCAGTGGAGGAGTGTTCCCATTTCTCCATATCCTCTCCAGCATAAGCTGTCATTGGTGTTTTTGAACTTAGACATTCTGATCAGTGTAAGATGTTATCTCAGAGTGGTTTTGATTTGCATTTCCCTAATGACTAAGGATGTTGAGCATTTCCTTAAGTGTCTTTCCACCATTTGAGAATTTTCTGTTTAGATCTGTATCCCATTTTTAAATTGGATTATTTGGTAGTTTGATGTCTATTTTCTTGAGTTCTTTGTATATTTTGGAAATCAGCCCTCTGGCCAATGTGGGGTTGGTGAAGATCTTTTCCCATTTTGTAGGGAGTGTTTTATCTTGTTGACCATATATATACATATTTAAAGCAAAATTCTACCTTAGTCAAATTTACATAGTTTAATCAGGAAAAACTAGCACACACACACACACACACACACACACACACACACACACACTCTACATGTCTTAGTTCTATAGGAATTCTAAGAACACAGACATGATGCTAGAGTGTACGATATACTCACTGTAGTGAATACATGCTGTGCTTGGGACTCAAGGCTGATGTAGAAGTAAAGGTGGTATCTTAGTTACTTTTCTGTTGATGTGACAAAATACCTGACAAAATCAGCTTAAGGAAGTATGAGTTTATTTTGACTCATAGTTCAAACAGTGCATCATGGCAGAGAATTCAAGGCAGTAGAGGCTTGAATCACTTGATCATACTGAGTCCTACGTTCTGTAGGAAGATTGCAACAAATACTTGTAACCTCATCAAGACAATCTCCCATAGACACAGTTAGAAACCCCTTCCCCAGGTGGCAGTAGACTTTATCAAGTTGACAATTAAAATTAATCATTGAAGTTTCCTGCATCTATGATTCAGAGTTGAAAATCATTTAGGTTTGATTGAAAATCATTTAGATTGAATCTGGGGGAACATTCACCAAAGGAAAGGATGAAAATTGTAAGAACAGGGGATCCCCTTGAAAACAGTGTATCTTTTAGATAGTCACCAAAAAGTGTAGGTAACTGAGACCCAGAAGGGTGGGATTAGATTTGAAAAAGTCAAATGTTTCCCAACTTGTTTTATACAAGTCAATTTTCTTTTAGATGAACAATTCCTCATGCATAGTGGGCAATTTTAGAGGAGACTCACTCAATGTAACCCCAGAAGCTAATGTTTTTTCTTTGTTTCTCACTTTAGTGTATGGAAACTAAGACACTACATAGGAAATCTGGTGTTCAAGGCCTCGATGGTGCTGACAGAAAGACACTTCCTCAGCTGGCAGCAAGCATCATCGCCCTGTCTCTCCAAGGAATTTGCCTGGGGAGAGCAGATTTGCCTTCCCCAGACGACTTTACAGACTATATTTTCAGTTTCTTGAATAGTACCAATTCCCTCCACCTATCCGGTAAGGTTGTTTTTCATGATTTCCTTTCCAACTCACATCTGTCTAATTAATTGTGCCAAAAAGCAAAGGCTAGAGCATTTCAGTGAGTGCATTTGTTCAGGTCTGTTTTAAACACTGTTTTATCTTGGCATTTGATAAGAGAGCCCAGATGGCCTCTCCAGGCTGAAGTCTATCAGCTGCTGAAGCATAAACATGAACTTGGCCCATTTATGTAGGGATAGATATTGTGGATGTAGAGTCAAATGGACAGATTTAAAACCTGCCTTGAGAACTAACTAAATGTTTTCCTGTTTCATACATAACATTGGGCCCGAGATGATGGAATGGTTCAAGAGAATCTGTGGCAGCTTGAGTGTAATCATAAAAGTGAGCCGTTTATGTTTAAGCAGAAGTAGCTTGTATGTTATTCATCTACTTTATTTCTGATAACCAAAATTTGGAGGCTCCAAGATGAAATATAATGCCAGCAATGAAACATGAATATTCATTTTGTATGTGTCTTTGCATTTACTAAGGAAATGTCTTGAAAGTTAAGTATCTGAAATGGTTTGACAGTTTCAAAATCTGAATCCAAGTGTCTGTTGGTAGATTTTCTTTCTACTCTCATTACACAATATCAATCAAAAGCAATCACTTTTCAGTATTGGAAAATGTTGGATCACATTTTCTTTTTTTTCTCAGATTTTTAAAATTTGAATTAGAAACAAGATTGTTTTACATGAGAAACCCAGTTCCCTTCTCCCTCCCCTACCACCCCCCCAACTAAAACCCTATCTATCACATATCCTTTCTGCTCCCCCTAGATGGTGAGGCCTTCCATAGGGTGTCATCAGAGTCTATCATATCCTTTGGGATAGGGTCTAGGCCCACCCCCGTGTGTCTTGCCTCAGGGAGTATTCCTCTATGTGGAATGGGCTCCCAAAGTCCACACCTATGCTAGGGAAAAGTACTGAACTACTACAGGTCCTGTAGATTTCTGAGGTTTCTCACTGAAACCCATGTTCCTAGGGTCTGGTTCAGTCCCATGGTGGTATCCCAGCTATCAGTCTGGGGACCAAGAGCTCCCAGATGTTCAGGTCAGCTGTTTCTGTGGGTTTCACCAGTCTGGTCTGGACCCCTTTGCTCTTCACTTGTCCTTCTCTGCAACTGGATTCCAGTTCAGTTCAGTGATTAGTTGTGGGTGTCTGCTTCTACTTCCACCAGCTCCTGGATGAGGGATATCGGGTGGCATAAAAGTGAGTCACCAATCTCATTATCAGGGGAAGGCATTTAAGGTAGTCTCTCCTCTGTTGCTTAGATTGTTAGCTGGTGTCATCTTTGTAGATCTCCAGACATTTCCCTAGTGCCTGATTTCTCTGTAAATCTAAAATGTCTCCCTCTATTATGGTATCTCCATTCTTGATAAAACTGTAATTCTGATCCTAGCTTCCATGTCAGGAGGCTTGCAACTTGCCTGAAAATCCAGCTCCAGGGAACCCAATACCCTTTTCTGGCCTCTCTGTAGGCAATTGTATATATACACACATACTTACACACACACACACACACACACACACACACACACACACACACACAGAGAGAGAGAGAGAGAGAGAGAGAGAGAGAGAGAGAGAGAGAGAAATAAAACACATCTTTTATAAAAGCATTATAATTCAATATTTCTCATATGACTACTAGCAAATAATTCTCTCATTTACTGTTTTCCAGGATTTTGGATTTTTTTCTAATTCATTTTGAGGGGTGGTTTTGTGGGTATAAAATTATTGATTGACAGCTGTTTCTTTCAGTTCTTTGAATTCATCATCCTACTAATTTTTTTGGATGGGTCCTTCATTGTTCAGAGACAAAATCTTGCAAAGCAACAAGCTAAAGTGGTTCGTATATGTGGGGCAGCTTGTTTTGAAAGATTTTATCTCTGAATTTCATCACTTTGACTGTAATGTGTCTGAACATGGATGCTCACTTATTTAAGTCGCTTGGTGTTTAATAAGCTTCCTGAACATGCCAATGAAGACTTTTATAACACACTTGGGAATTTCTTGGCCATTATTTTCACCAGTTTTTCATTTATCTTTTTGTCCTCTCTTTCTGTGGCTGCCAATACAGCCACAGAAATAACTGTTGTGTTCAGGGTCTCTGAAATTTATTCCTGTTCTTTCTTTTCTCTGTTTTTTAGGAAGAAGTTTTTCGGTTACCCAATCTAAATGATCAGTGATTTTTACCTTCTGTTTCCTCACATATATTGTTGAGTGCTTTTTTATTTTCCAATTTTATCTCAAAACTACACAGTTTTTTATGTAACTTTTATTTTCTTATTTGAAAATTTCTTTTATCTTATTTGTCATGCTTCACTTTAATTATTTAAATATGATTTTCTTTAGTTCCTCCCAGCTCCTTTCTTGGGTCCATTTGATTGGAATATCTTATCCCAAACCTTTACTCTGAGGTAATGTCTGTCTTTGAATTCGAGGTGTATTCCTTGTATGCAGCAAAAGGATGGATTCTGTCTTCTTATCCAATCTGTTAGTCTGTGTCTTTTTATAAGTGAGTTAAGAGCATTAATATTGAGGGAAATTAAGGACTATTGAGTGCTTATTCTTGTTTTTGATTTGTTGTTGGCTTAAACATACTTTTGCTAACTCCCTTGAGGATTTTGAGGCTAAATCCAACATCCAGAAATATCTAGAGATGCATTCATTGTTTTCTATTTTTCTTTAACATAGGTCACACTTTGTCAGTTTTCTGGAAAGCTCATAAGACTTCTTTGTTGTTGAAAATTGGTCATTTAGGATAAAATTACTTGGCAAATTTTATATAACTGATTATACTGTTTAGGAAAATTACAAAGACATTTTATTCACAGGTAAGAAGAAGAGTAATACCATATAAACTGTTTTTTTTATTTAATCATTCTCTGTATAATTAATTTTAAAAGCATAGAAATGAATTGAGGGAACCAAACTGCAATGTATGTGTGCCATCAAGAGCAGAATTTTAAAAATTAGAATGTAGTGAAATTAACCTTGGCTTAATTTCACTTGTTTTCTTTGTTTTTCATATACATCTAAAAGGAAAGTGTTTTTACTGATTTGTATACATTAGAGAAATATACAGTCCTATGGGGATGTAGAATGCCTTCAGGAAGTAAATTTCCTTTTTTAATTTGAATTTTTATTACATTGAGCTTATTTTATATGTATGTACACATGAATATATGGATATGTTTATGTGTATATATGTGTACACACAAGTGTGCCAGAGTTCGTAAATGAAGGTCAGATGACATCTTTCTAGAGTTGGTTCTCTCCTTCTACCACGTGGGACACAGGAATCAAATTGAATCATCAGGCTTGGCAGCAAATGCCTTTACCCCTGAGCCATTTCTCTCTCCCCTTCATTATATTTTTATAGCAAATACAATGTATGTCTCAATGAAATGTATGTCCATTGGCTGCTCACTTTTATTATTTCTAGGGTCTAAAAATGTAGGATTATTCTCGGATGACTTGTCCATCATCCAAGTTTAACCAAGGTCTTTTGAGGGAATCAGCTGCCATACAAAGTACAATACTCTTTAGCTTTGTTCCGTTATAGCCATTTTCAGTAGAACTAAATTTACCTAGTAAAAAGTCTGAGCTGTAGCCATGGAAATTGTGACTCCTCTAAATGTGACCTATCTATTCCATGTGACACCAGATTTTATATGAAATTTCTAGACCTAGACCAACTCCTCAACATACTGTCTACCAGAAGGGCTTGTGCCAAAAAGGATCCCCTCCATCAATACCAAAGGAAACAAAATGGGACAATACACAGTTGGGGAGACCCTAAGACATCTGTAGCAATGGAGAAAGAGTCCGATGACCATTCTGTTTCCTGGGATCAGGTATTTTCACTTTTTGTTATCATTCTCTATTGCTGAAGGAAGTTGGTAGTCCTATGAGAATAATAAAAATCTTATGAAGATAATAACCATTTTTCTTTAAAGGTGTTCTATCTCTGTGGTAGGTTTATGTTTTTCTTTGTCTGTAAGTGGATTTCTACAGACATAGAAATTGAACCAAATATTTAGGGTTTCTCTTAGGTCCATATTAAACATATGAATAATCAATTTATAAAAGATACACTAAGCATTTAATGTGGGCTGGTAGTACCTTGGCATGAAGAATGCCACATTGGGTGAAGATAGGCCTAGCCCTTAAGAATCCTACAAGTCAGTGGAGGATTTAAGTACAAACAATAAGCAGACAGTCCAAATTTAAGATAGACTATGAAGGGATTCCTTTGTGCTTTGATTAATAGAAGCATACTTGTATAATAGATTCTTCCTTTTGAACCTAGGGCCAGGTAAATATATTATCCTTGAACTACATCCTTAGCCCTTTTAAAATTTTATTTCTTTTTCTTGGCATATGTGTACACATGTGCACCCGTGTGTGTAGAGGCCTGAGGATGTAGTGGAGTTTTCCTGCTTGATTGCCACCTGATATATTGAGGCAAACTCTTCCATTTGAATCCAGAACCCACTGAATCTGCTAGGCTAGCAAACCAGTTTGTTGTGGGAATCCCATCTGTTCTTGCAGCATACTGAGAGTATAGGTGGTGTGGGTTCTGGGATCCAAACCTTGCTTCTCACTCCTACATGGCAATTATTTAACATGTTGGACCATCTCCCCAACCCCTAATTTTTATCTTGAGGCAGAGTGTCACTAATTTCCCTGGTCTGGTCTGAATACTCTATCTAGTTCAGAAAGGCCTTGCACTTTCAAAGCTCCTGCCCCTGACTCCTTAGTAACTGGGATCAAAGGCTTTGCTGCTGTTTTGGTGACATGCCATGGTCATCTCATGAGCAGATGCATTTCTAAGACACATTTTACTGTATCACTCTTGAGTCTTGAAAATCCCATTAGGAAATAAATTTCTTTAATCTCAAGAAGCCCAGCATTGTTCAAACTTCTATGGTAGAATCATTTTCTGCCTAGTTCATTAAAATGTTCAAAAGTTAATGTTTCATGGTAATGCCTCACATTTATTGATGATTTACTATGTATTGGGCATGGAATTGTTATTTCATTCACATGAAAACTTTTATGTAAGGCTACATTTGTGTTATTTCATCCTAATGATCAACCACAGAGCTAGTAATTGATTAAGTTTGCAGAAACAGGATGTGCACCTATCTTGGTTGATAGCATATTCTTGGTTCTTTTAGGAAATGTTATTCAAGTAAGTCAATTATTTTGTTATTTGTGTTTTTAATAAGCATCACTATCATAGAGCATGATTTGTACACACACATACATATTTGAAGTCAGAGGACAACTTGAAGGATTCAGTTCTACCATTCCCTTATGTGGTCTCAGGAATTGATTGAACTTAGGCCTTCAGCCTTGATGGAAAGAGCCTTTATCCACTGAGCTGCTTGGCTGGCCCCATGACTTGTATTTTATATCACAAGAGTACTTAGATGTTCATAACAATTCTGGATGTTGTGCCCACAGATAATGAATGCATTATTGTGGCATAACACATAGTCTTGCTATTATGTCTTTGCTATTATGCCATTTTCCAGGCTAGAGATGTCCCTTAAAAATGGATCACCTGCTTAATGCATGTGAGGCCTTGGCTTCAATCACCACCATCTCTTCTTGTTTTTTATCACCTCTGTTAGGTATAAAATGTATCTATCAGACTTCACCTTTTCAAACCTTATATATGGTATCTAAGCAAAGGTGACAAGCATTTACCTCCAAGTTAATCTTTTCACATCCTCTCTTTGGTGGTTTGAATGAAAATGGCCTCCATAGGCTCATAGGGAGTGACACTATTAGGAGGCGTGGCCTTGCTGGAGGGAGTGTGTCACAGGGCTTGGGTTTTAAGGTTTCAAATGTTCAAGCCAAGCCCAGTGTCACTCTCTCTGCTACCTTTGGATCTGGATGTAGAGTTCTCAGATACCTTTCCAGCACCATGTCTGTCTGTGTGCCGCCATACTTCCAGCTATGATGATAATGGACTAAACTTCTGAATGGGTAAGCAAGCCCTAATGAAATTTTTCCTTTATGAGTTGACATGATCAAAAGTGTCTTTTCATAGCAATAGAAAATAAATAAGATACCCCTAAAAGCTATTTCAGGGCTGGAGAGATGTCTCAGCAGTTAAAGGGCACTGACTTCTCTTCCAGAGGACCTGAGTTCAATTCCCAGCACCTACATCTGGCTCACAATTGTCTGTAACTCCAAGATCTGACAGCCTCTCCCAGACATATATGCAGGCAAAACACAATGCACATGAAATAAAAATAATAATTTTTTTAAAACAAAGTTACTTCAGTGCAACACAGAACTGTCCCCCTACCAAAACAACTGCCATCTTCATAAAACCAGCTGTAACTCCTTACAAGAGGTCTTCAAAGCTATTGATCATTACTGTTGACATTCTAACATAGAATGAGAGAGTTTACAGGATCACTGGACCTCACCTGAGTGTCTAGTCACTCTTCTCAGATGTTTGTATGCTACATTGCCATAACTGGTGGTGTTCTGTGGTTTGGGGAAGGGGATAGAACATATAGGTTGTGGAAGACTAAGGGAAGGGGAAGGGGACTCCATGTGCTTATTAATGGGACAGTCATTATCCAGACTAGGTGCTGTCATAGCCTTTTCTAAGACCTTTGACTGGCCAGCATTCATTGTTTGTATTACAATGCATATCAATGCCCAACTCGCCCAGAATTGAACCAGAATATGTTCTCCTTGTCTATGGGCTTTCACTATATTTTCTTTAATTGGATACCATATTCTGGGATCTAGCGTGTCCTTTTCAGGAAATCAAGGATTATATTGTATTATTAAATCCCAGCATTCTTGCAGCTGGTCTTTAAACATTGCAGCACAAATCTTCTTCAAGACCTGAGGTATCAACTCAATATATGGTGCTGGTTTTCCCACTTTTAGCCACATATTAATTCATACTTACCTCCTTCTTCAGAGGTCCTCGCATCCTCTCTTAGCTGTTCATTCAGGTCCCTGATTTGGGTTGACTTATTGACTTTCACGGACCTAAGTATATATGTCTGTGAGACCTAGGATTTGAAGACCTTAAAGAACAGGGGTGGACTGCAGTCTAATGATACAGACAATATTACTTCAGTTTCAGTGTACTGAATACACTAATGTGACAAAGACAGCAATGAGTCAAGGAAAGTTGTTTGAGTTTAGAAAGAACATGATCAGAAAAAACATGTACATAGACTCCATTAAGCACATACTAAATATTAACAGAGCAGCTCTTTCTTGGGACAGACCAATTTAAACTCAATTATCTGGCATGCACTGTAGATTGTATCTGGGAAAGCATGAATGCAAGGCAGAAGGGCATATCCAGATTCAGGGAACACTGACCAGATTGGATTCTACAGCTGTATTCTGACGTCCAACAAGACCAAACATGTTTTATAAATTGAATGCAAATACTTGTCACAGGAGGCATGAAATCACATCTAAGAACAATTCAGGGAACAAAATGCACCTGAGGTAAAAGACCCTCTGCCTTTTTCCTGGAATGTCTCTCACAGCGTTGTTCACCATGCATCAATTTTTTGACCATGTTTTCCCAGTTCTTTACTAAAAGGTCACTTTAGAGTGGGCACTTAAATGGCTATAATTTTATAGAATAAGAGGACAATCTGTGAAGAGAAATAGTCACACACACACACACACACACACACACACACACACACGGAAACATACAGAAGAAGATACTTAGTATTCAGGGGCAGGCATGTGTGTGCATCTTTGGTTCTTTGAATGCAGGGCCAGGCATGTATATGCATCTTTGGTTCCATATTTTAAGTTTTGGTTTTGACTTTCCCTTTGCACATTGGGTTTTCTTTTTGTATGTGTCTGTCTGTTCCTATTTTTGTCTCGTTCTATATAGTCTCCTCTTGGTTTTCTCATTTGTGTGGCTTCTCTTCCATAAAACCAAAACATTTCATGGCCAGAATAAAACTTTTTTACCCACAAAGTCACAACCAAAGATTTTAATATGGGGAGAAAAACACTAAAGTGTTCCATCATTATCTCTTGATTAACAAATCTTTATTGAAAAATTCTTATATCCTATACCATAGAAAATCAGGCCAGTCTTGTAAATCACTGATTTTTTTCTAAAAATACTGTACTGATTGTAATTAAAGTTCACAAAGGCACTGGGTTCTTATTTCAATAAAAGTCACTCATATCAAAACTATATTCCATTCCCAGTAAAACGTTTAGGGCTGAGAAGATGTATCAGTGTGTAAAGTACTTATCCCACAAGTCTGAGGACTGATGCTCAGATACCCATGTAAAAGCCTGGTGGGCATGGTAACCCACGTGCAATGTTTGGGAGATGGACATGAGGGATGTCCTGGTCAAGCTGTCCAGCTGGCCTAACTGCAATGGGGAGTTCACAGTTTAGAGAGTCAAGAGATCCTGACTCAGTACTAAAGGTGGAGAGTGATAGAGGAAATACCCAATGTCAGCCTCAGGCCTGCACATAGGAAAGCATACAGCATGCATATGCATCCACAAATGTGCATGTGTCCACACATTTGAGCAAACATACATGCACAACACACACACACACACACACACACACACACACACACACACACACACACACACACAAAGTTTTAAAGTTGCAATTTTTGATGCATACAATCCTAGTTTTACTTTAAAAAACAAAAACACCTTATGGCAGGTTTTAAAGGCAAGTTGCATTTATTTTAGGATTTTGTCTAAGAATGTCTATGTAACAAGAAAGAATATAAAATTGCAGATTAAACCAGGTAAAGTCAGTTAAAAATAACAATTATTTCTGTTTTTTTTTTTTTTTTTGAGAATGTTAGCAGAAGTAGGGTCACCCTACTACTGGTTAGAACACTATGCAACATGTTGCAAATCGGTCTCTAGTTACCAGAAAGAAAAGATAATGTGCCAGGAATATGAAATGATACACTGAATAAAATAGATGAACTACAGATTTTTAAATAAGCCTTGGCAAATAACAAAAGGTTAACAATGCAAAGGTAGCAAGGAAACACTCACGATAATGTTACCATGCAGCTGTGTAGTTCTGGCTCCTTGAGTGGCTGTTGTATCTGACAGAAGGCTGAGGTTTGTAACTGTGTTTTCTTCGTACAGGCTTGCTTCTCTGCTAGGCAACTGATGGAGATATTTCTACAGAACCATAGTAGTCTGTCCATTTCTAAGGAGGACTTCAACCAGCTAAGTCCAGGGATCATCCAGCAACTGCTCAGCTGCTCTTGCCAAATGCCTAAGGACCAGCAAGCAAAGCCTCCACCCACCACTCTGGAGAGTAAGTCTGGGTTCCGAAACTAAGTGCACAGCGCATGCAGTACTAGCAGGAAAAGTAGAATGCGGTATAGGAGCCTTCATAAGCACTATGCATTTACCAGCTTGTGTAGTCCTTCATATAGTGAAGTTTTCCCAAATCTGGCTGGGATTATGACTCTGTGCCAACACATGAAATGATTTTCAAAGAATGTTAAATATTTTGTATATAATGTGTGTAAATTGATTCTGCCCTTCATATTTGAGTAAATCATGAAGCAACTTAAAATTCTATGATTCTTCCGGGACCTGAAGAAGGATGAATCAGTAAAGTGCTTACCAGGCAAGCATAGGGACCTGAACTAGGTTCCTAGCACCCAAGTTAAAAAGCTGAGTCAGTGACATGTGCCTGTAATTCTGGTGAAGTGGAGACATGAGGAACCCAGGGCTTGCAATGTAGGCAGACTGGTTCAGTGAGAGACCTTGCTTTAAAAAAAAATTACAGAGCAATTGAGGAAGGAAGGCACCATGTTGATTCCGGTCTGCAGATTCATGACACACACACACACCACCACACACACACCCACACACAAAAAAAAAAAAAAAAAAAAAAAAAAATCCCTCCATAGTTCACACCCCTTCATAGTTGAGAAATGACAGGGTAAAAGAGAAAACATGTCAGTATTGAAATTGGAAATGTATACCTGAGATAAATCTTTCATTCTCAGGGACTGTGTGATCTTAAGCAATTTCTACTTGCACTTCTCGGGGCTGGCTCTTCTCAACTCCGTGGGAAGTAGGTGATACTGTACAGTGCTTTCAGCAATCTGCACATCCCAGAACATGTGAAACATGAGGGCATGTTGGGGGAGATGAAGGTACATGAATGTGTCTGTGTTGGAGGTACCTCATCCAGGGAGGTGACAGCCTTCCACGAATGCCTAGTGGTTCTAGAAAGCGCAGGGATCGATGATCACACCTCCCCAGATCCCACCGAAATAATAGCAGTAACTCACTGATTTTATAGGGAACCTGGAAGGCTCAGATTGGATGAAGTGTTCAAAGATGTGTGTAGTTCATTGGAGCTCTATATTCTTATGACCTCTGTCTCCCCAAAATGGTGGCCAAGAATAGCTATGACATAGAGAAAATATAAAGCACTTCAAGCACTGCCACTAATATGACCATATATATGATATATATGAGCATATATAAATACACATTGTTAGAGCTATATACTTGATTTCTCGACTGTAATGCCTACCATTTAAAAATTGAATTATCCAGCTACTCTTCTACAGTGGATTCTTATGCAGTAAGTGGCTCATTTGGAGATTTACTGTGAACAAAAGCATGTTATGTCTAAATACCTAAAACTTCATAGATAATGGGAGGAAAGAGACTTCATTAAAATGAGGAGCCCGGAAACTCAACTGTGCTCAGTGACATTCACAGTGAGACACAACTGCTCCTGGCACACCAATTACATCAGAAAGGAGGACGGACAGAGGTGTAGTACCTCTGAGCACCTGTGGGCATGCTCAAGTACTCCCACCACCTGGCATGGTGCCTGTCGTATCCAAGCCCCTTATAGAAAAGCTGTTTGAACGTAAGAGCTATGAATAAAAAGGTGAAAGGTTTATCCTCTATTTTATGAACTCCTTTTTAGATTCTTCTAGGGAACTCTTCATTAGAACTATCCCATAAATAACATACAGCAAAGAACCTGTCTTCATAGACATCTCTGTTTTGAGATTTAAACTATGGCATTATGTAATTAATGGAGGCTTTAATTGGAGCAATGTAAGATGTTGCATTAAAGTGGGAGGAAACACTAGTAAGGAAACAGAGTTTTTTTTTTTTTTTTTTTTTTTTTTTTTTTTTTTTTTTTTGGTTGTAACTCAAGCCTTGAGTACTGCCTTCAACTTCATTTCTAGGAAGGAAACATATGACCATGTTCAGATGAAATTTCAGACCTGCTTTAAGTAGCTGCTTAGGCAAGGCCAAGTTCAAGTTCTGTCATGATGAGAAATGTTGAGACAGAACCTATTGTTAAATTATCAGACACCAATCAAGATGGCATAATGCTCTGCCTCGGGCTAAGGGCAAATCAGCAGTCCTTTCATAACACGTCTGAGATTCTATGATTTCCAGGCTATCCCACCACAAGAAAGAAGGTAAAATCTAACTCACTGAGGAAGTAGAGAGACTTTAAAAGCTCTGAAGTTATGGAAATATCCATTTCTCTGCAGTATCACTTTCCTGCAGTATAGGACAAAGGCAGATAGGATGTGAGGCACGTCTAGACTCCAACATGACCTATGAGTTTTTTTTGACATTTTATGGTCTCTTATAGGTGCTATTCAAACCCCCGAGCTTGCCCATGTTGAAATTCTATTAACTTTATATATTTAGGTGAAAACAACAGCATTCATGAATAAAGTCCAGCTGGGGATGGATGGATGGGCTATGAAAATCTTCCAAGATGTTTTAATAGCAAGGGAGTCCTTGTGTTCTTAATAAATTAGAATGAAATAAAACAGCTGTGTAGGTATATGACCATCCCAGCCATCCTTAACATTATTAAAATTAATTGTTGCAAAATATGCACATCATAAAATTTATCTCCACTCCTTTCTTTAGATACAGAGGAAGGGAGCCAGGGCCCAGGAGTTCTAAGCACAAGCTGTACCACTTGGCCTGTGCTCCCAGCTCCTTTACTTTTGTTTGTATAATTCAGCAGTGCTCAGAAAACAGCTAAGTTTTCATATTTCCAAACTTAGAAGACCAGCTCTTCATTGTCTCCTAGACCACTATGGAGAGACTCCGCAATGAAGAGGTAGCAGAAGAGATGAGAAGATTGAAGACTGACAATTTCTTGCCTCTCCTCAGAAAACTACCAACTCCCTTTATCCTGGTAAAGTGAGAGCTGGGAATCAACACAGCTCCCCTTAAAATCTCAATCTTGCTGTGTGCCCACTTGCATCATTAATATGACTTGATGTGAAGAGCGAACCTTCTAGAAAAAAACATAATTATGATAAGAAAGGAGCATTATGTTCTGAAAATATCTATAACTTGTCCTTTGATAATGTCATGTATTTATAAAATGTATCTTGATTATAGCTACCTCTAGTTCTCCTTTTCCAGTACTCTGAACCCCCAACACATCCCCAACTTCCTGTTCTCTTTCAAAAAACAAAAACAAACCAGGGAGTCCAATTAGTGCTGCCCACATGCTGCTCATCCAGCTGAGTTTGGGAGACCTCCCAAGAGCCACACCCCTGAAAAAAAATGACTACCCCCACCAATAACTCCTCATGATCCCCTCCCCCAACATTCTTCTATTACAATAAACTTTAAGAAAGAGTTTATTTTCTTTGAGACTACAATCAAGGAGCTAGAGATAGCTTGGCAGGAAAGAGAATGTACAGCTCTCATAGAGGACCCTGATTTGGGTTCCCAAACACATGTCAAATGACTTACAATTGCCTGTAACTCTGGCTCCAGAGAATCTAAAGCATCTGGCTTCCATAGGCATCTACATAGTCTATATTTGTCTATGTTTATGTGCACCTCCTCCCTAAACGGTGGGCATTTGGTAGGTCTTCTCCCCAAGGCAGGGGGCTTGATAGGTGAGCATTGGATTCGAAGAAGATAAGGTCTTATATAGCTCAGGAGTAGGGGGTTTCCAAGTGGGGGATTCGGCATGTAAAACAGGTGGGGTTAAGGGAGCAGAACATAAGCATGACAAGTTAGTCATAATGGCCTCCTGAAACAAAGACATGATTGCAAGGTGGTCAAAACAACAGGTAGTCGAAACCAAAGAAAGGTTGTAAGATGGTTTTAATTTTTTGAAATGATTGCCATTCCTGGATAAGGCAGTACAGAACCATTTGTAGTTAAGGTTACGGGAGGGGCCTAGCCCAATCCTTGAGAAACAGAGATTTAATCAAAAGCAGCAATGAACCTAGTTTGTCTTAACTACGAGATAGTTTTTAAGCCTAAACGGAGGCAGCCTGGTTCTTCACCTCCTCCCCCAAAGTGGAAGATCCACACAAGGTGGAGATGAAACTCAGGACAGTACCATCTCTTCGGGCACCGGGTCAAGACCCTCCAGGAACTGACCTCTTGGTTTATTTTTCTTACACATTTCAACATGGTAGATCTTGTGGCCTGTGATCTTTACAAGAAGAACTAACTCTATTGGTTAATAAACAGAGCTCAGGGCTAGGGCCAGAGGAAGGAGCTGTGATTAGCAAAGGATAGATTCTGTCTGTGGAAGATGCAAAGTACATGGGGCTTCTTTCATGTGTTCTATTCCCTGCAGGATTAGGGTCTAAACAATGCTCAGGAACTTGGGAGAATTCAGGTGGAGGCTGGTTCCTAATAGAATAGCAAATAATCACCAAGCTGATTGACCACTTTTCACTCTGGCATTCCAAGTTGTTATTCTTTTGCTTAAATTAGAAATTCAAGAGATGAGAACAAGAGATCACATTAACCAGTTTATTATAGGGCAGAAGAGCAAGAAGGGGGAGAGAGAGAAATGCAAGAACAGAGCAGGGCAGAGAGTAAGAGAAGAGAGACAGAGAGAGGGTTTACCGCTGGAGAGAGAGAGAGAGAGAGAGAGAGAGAGAGTGAGAGAGAGAGAGAGAGAGAGAGAGACAGAGAGAGAGAGAGACACACAGAGAGAGAGAGAGACACACAGAGAGAGAGAGAGAGAGAGAGAGAGAGAGAGAGAGAGAGAGAGGAGAATAATGCTGTGGGTTTAAAAGAGGGAGCTTTCACATGCGCACCGAGTCCCTATGCAGCCCTGTAATGAGTGAGGTAGCCATGATGTGGCCACACAACACAGGGTCCTTTAAGCTGCCTAGGTGTCTGCCTGAACATTTCACAAGTGACTAGGAGTCATTCACTTGTTGAAGAAAATGGGTCTGTGTGATTGACAACCCTGACTTCTTCAATGCTCAGTGTAAGCTGTACTTCCTACACATATGAGTACAATTAAAAACAATAAAAATAAAATCTTTAAAACTACAATTACATTTAAGCATTTTGATAGCTGAAGTGTTCCATTTCCTCTTGATTTTTTTCCATACTCATAAATTAATTTTTAAAACTAATCTTAACATTTTACTGTATTGGCTCCTTTTATAGTTGCTGTGAGAAAATTCCCAGGAGAAGCAAGTTAAGGTAGGAAAGGAGTGCTTTGACTCACAGTTCCAGGGAACAGGTCATCATGGTGGAACTTGAGGCTCTGATCACATTACATAAGAAGTCAGAAAGCTGGGAGCTCAGCCCACTTTTGCCTTGTTATTCATTTTATAGGGTGGTGCTGTCTACACTTAAGGTGGATCTTGCCACCATGAATCACTTACACTAGAAAACCACTCAGAGACTTGTCAAACCACCACACTTACTTTGCTGATTTTTAAAACAATATTTGGAGGCCTAGATACATGAAATAAACTTACAGGTTAGAAGAATTCTTATAAGAACCTAAACTATAGACTGTTAAAATTTTATATTGTTAATTGTTCATTCTGATGGATCATTTTTTACCTATAAAACCACTCCTTTTAGTTATTGAGAACATCATTAATTTTCACATATCCAGTAGTTTTGAAAGCTGTTAGAAGAAGTTCTCCTGAAGTGTGTGCTCAGTTTGTTCATAAGCACAGTCAGCAATGAAGCCTTGCTCCAGGCTCCCTCTCCACAACTTCCCTCTGTCTTTGAAGTGCTTAAAGTGATGAGATGGGAATCAGGACTTGTGTCTCCCTATGGGGGTGTTGCATTTCTCAGTAGGAAGCATGCCTTTCTCTGTGGGTGGTAGGCGGGCTGGGCATTTGCTTGCTTTGATGATTTTAAATAAAATATGGGGTAGCTCTGCATGTAAACCTGGACGCAGGAAGAGGGAATCAGATCTTATTACAGATGGTTGTGAGCCAGCATGTAGTTGTTGGGAATTGAGCTCAAGGCCTCTGGAAGAACAGCCAGTGCTCTTTCTTAACTGCTGAGGCATCCACAGGATCTCCATGACATGAGCCAACAGCAGGATGAATGAGTGTCGATGAGGGTCCAGTGATGATGGTGTGCCAGAGGCCTTGAACCAGATCAATGAACATTTGTGGGTGGGGCTGATTGGACAAAAGGGTATATTGCAACAACACCGCAGCTCCCAGTGCCACTAGGATGAAAGAGGAGGGATTGGAAAGATGGAGAAGTAAGGTGGGTTTTTTTTTGTTGTTTTGTTTTTAATTATGGGTGCATGCTGCAGGAGCGAGGGACAGATACGGAGGGACTTGGAGGTGAGTGGGATTGGGGTTCATGAGGTGAAATTCTGAAAGAATCAATAAAGAATTACGTTAAAACAAAACAAAAGAAACATGGGGTAGCTTTAAAGCCACAGTCAGGCGAAAGCTTAGTCTTTGCTGTAACGAAGTAATCTGGTTGCCTTATGAACAACAGAAATGTATCTTTCCCAGTTCTGGAGTCTGAGAGGCTCAAGATCAAAGTGTTGGTAGATTCTGTTTAGCAGTCCTAGTGGTGGTGGGGGTCTACTTTCTGGTTCATACAATGGAACCAGCTCACTGTCTCCCCCTGCTGGAAGTTTCTTATAAATCACTTACCTCATTCTTTTGGATAGAGAATGGCCTCCCAAAGGCTATTGAGTGTGGGGGTGGGGAATGGTTATAACCATTTAGACCACAGCAAGTCATAAATGATCACAGCAGTTCACTCTTAGCCTTAAAAATAAAAACAATCCTCTATCCTATGCAAAACTTACAAAAATTATTGTACGTCCCGACAAACTTACGGTAGGAGAGCAGATTTGGAATTTCTGCTAGCTGAGGCATGAGTGGACAGCAATACACACTGACAGTCTTTTTCGCCTCCTCTGACTAGAATACGGCTACAGCACGGTGGCTGTGACATTCCTGACGTTGGGTTCTATGCTTGGGACGGCGCTGGTCCTTTTTCACAGCTGTGAGGAGAACTACAGTCTTATTTTACAGCTGTTTGTGGGCTTGGCTGTAGGGACCCTCTCTGGGGATGCTCTGCTCCACCTCATCCCTCAGGTAATCTTGTTCCTTCCATTCCAGATGGGTGCTATCTGATTTTTCTTTCCTTTCAACAGCTTGACATGTTTATGCAATGTTTTTGGTGTGAACCTCAGGGAATAAATATAATGGTTGATGTTTTCCTTGGAAAGAAAGAGATGCTTTTGCCCTGAGCATCTCACACCCATGGAAGAGAAGAGAGAGATGAGCAGACATTGAAGCCATCCCCATTGTCTTTGTCTTTGAAATAAAAGTTGTCAGGTTATTGGTTTGGATTAAGAAAGATTCAGGAGGCAAGTGTCACAGCACCCCCCCACAAACACACAGAGACACACACACACACACACACACACACACACACACACACACACACACCTATGAGAGTGATGCTGGCCTTTCTCAGTTGCTTCCCTGCAGCCTCATACATCAGATCCATTTCTCTCCACTCTTACGTTCTGCCTCAAAGTTTGTTTCTTCTCAGTTTTCTTGTCAATTGTATTTTTGCTTAGTTTCTGCCAAGGGGCGATGTAATTTTAGACAAGCAGTGTGCATTCAAGAGAAAGATGCCATGAGACAGGGTTCAAGCAGAGGGCTTTTTTTTTTTTTAATTAGGGAAAGGTATCATAAAAAGAGGAAAGGTAAGGGGGGAGACCTGCTTCTGGGGATGGGAGTGGCAAGAGAAAGGAAAGGGGGGAGAAAGAAAAGAGGAAAGGGGGAGCAGACAGACAGAGGGAGAGAAAGAAAGGGAGAGAGCTGGCAGGTGGGTAGGGCCCTTTTAAAAGGGAACATAGTGAATATGCACAGATGGTGCTCTTAGTTGCAGCTGAGGGGGTATCCTGTCAGAACCCTAAGGACAGGCCAGTAGAGATGCCTGAATACTAACAAGGGCAAGCACCAGGGGAAATTCAGGGCTGAAGGAAGAGGGGCAGTGTTATTTTTTCTAGCTCACTCCTGACTCTGGCTCTCGTACCTGCTCCAAAGTAGCTGAAATACTGTCAGGTTGTATCTGGAGGCTCCCTCCACAGCATTTCTCTTGAAGTTTCAGCAATGTCATTTCCTATCTTTGCCCTTTAGAGGTACAGTGGGAATGGGTTCTGGAATGGCTGTTTTCTGGGTCCCTTGTTCCTTGGCTCTGCATGAGTCTCTGCCATAGTGTCATCATTAGCGTCACTGTCTTTGTGTTTGAACCCTCAGAGTAGAATTCTCCTCACCAGAATAATGGTGTTTGAATTTTCCTTTTCTTCTTCTTCTTCTTCTTCTTCTTCTTCTTCTTCTTCTTCTTCTTCTTCTTCTTCTTCTTCTTCTTCTTCTTCTTCTTCTTCTCCTCCTCCTCCTCCTCCTCCTTCTCTCTCTCTCTCTTTCTCAGCAGTGTGTGTGTGTGTGTGTGTGTGTACATGTTCATGTGTGAGTTTGCATGTACATGTTTGGACTAGGTATCAATACCAGTGTCTTCCTCAGTCATTCCTCACCTCCCTGTCTGTGGCAGGGTCTCTCACTGATCCTGGAGCTCACCAGTTTGGTCGCACTGGTTGGCTACTGAGTTCCAGGAATCCACCTGTGTCAGCTGTTGTGGGGTTGCAGACACACGTCGTCCCACTCAGCTTTTCATGTGAGTGCTAGAGATCTGAGGTCAGGTCCTTGTTTTTGTGAGGCCAGTTCTTTACTGACAGCCCCTAGATTTCTTCCCTTAAAAAGTCAGAAGCAGCAGGAAAGTGGCCATCTGTTGAAGTCTTCTGCAGTTTTTTTTTTTTTTTTTTTTTTTTTTTTTTTTTTTTTTTTTTGAAAATGAAAGGACGGAGACTTGAGATGTGAAGGAGATGAGGCAGGAGGCACTGCAAAGGAGGCTGTGTGTTTGTTCTTAATAGGAATGGTGGCAGCGGACTAATGACTATGCCTCCTGTGCAGTATGAAACGGTAAAAATTTCCACAAGCCGCTGACAATTTCCTCTCCATCACTGCTGTTGCTTAGAGGCCCAATAATTATTTGATATTCAAAAAACTGAAAAGTGAGCACTGGAGAAATTAAACAAGCCACTATTGGTTTTAATTTCCCCTCATAATCTAATTTTCTGGAAATATTTCAAGACTGGCGTATTGGCTGGAGGCAATGGCCACAGCCGTTTTCTAGGTCACTGCAGCAGATACAGAGATGTTTGTTGCCTGGGATCCTGGGAAACAGCAGGAGGTTGCCTGGGTTTCCTCTAAGGAGTAGTGCACAGCTGGGGAGCAAGCCTGGACTTGGGGTACATAGGAAATGCTGCAGATCTGCCCAAAAATGGTTAGCTTGCTTCTATGACATTTGATGGCAGGATTTTGGCTTGAGAAGAGAGATGAGGACAAGAGTTATTTGAAAGAGGAAGAAGAATCTAGTATAGGGTGTGATGGAGAGCTAGAGAAATCAGTGGCCCCTGTTTGCTATCTGCATTTTCAATGATCTTTACAGAAGAAAATACCACTGCTTGATTGATTTTTTTATTGTTGCCAAATTTGTTCAACTTAAAGATCTATGTCTTAACCCGAGATTGTGAGTTGTTCTTTTATTTAATTGTATGATGTTATAATGTTCTTCACTTTATGAAATGCTGATCATATGAATTGAAGATCATATGAGTATGAGGTGGGTATATATTACTGTTATTACTAAACAAGTTAGTACAAGGAGAACACCATATTCTGGCTTTTAGTTGTAAGTACATCCACAGGGGATTGGTTCTAGGACACCTTAGGATATGAAAGCCTACATATGGTCAAGTCCCTTTGTGAAAAATTGTATACAACTTGCATACATTTTGTGTATAGCTTATTACGTAAAATCATTTATATCATTCACAATATGTGATACAATGTAAAATAACTGAAATATATTTATAAATAGTATATTATTTAGAAATAAAATACTTATATATTATTTATTACTATTAATATTTATAATATGATAAAATCTAATAATTTAATAATAAATTTATTATAATAAATATTTCTAAATACCATGGTATTTAGAAAATAACATAGTGAGGAGAAATTCAGTTATTTTTTCTGAGTATTTTCAGTCTGCATTTGGTGGATATATACCCCAGGACTATATTATATAAACATAAATGATAGATATACTTTATAATTCCTATTTTCTTTACTTGGAACTCAGAAACATCTTACTTCTACAAACCACTGAGCAATTTCACAAATTGCTATCATTTGGAAAAGGAATATACTAGGTGATAATTACTTACAAGCAGTTAGTCATAAAGGTAGTCATGGACTGAGTGAATGGGATGAGTGAGCTAACCAGAGGGTAGCTCACAATGCCCTTCAGAAAACTGATAACACTGCTGCTCACACTGTAGGTGGAGTTTCTCTTCGTCCTAGCAGTCAGCTCTGTCCGACCAGCTGGCTCCCAAATAACATACTGAGATGACTTATTATTAATTAGAAATGCTCAGCAGATGATTTAGGTTTGTTTTTTTAGCTAGCTCTTCTAACTTAAATTAACCCATTTCTATTAATCTGTGTACTTCCCAGAGGTTGTTTATCTCATCTATATACTGCTCATCCTGCTCACTCTGCATTGCATGTGTCTCCTTCAAGTCTCCTTCTTCCCCCCAGCATTCTCTCTGCCCTGAAAATCCTGCCTAGCTACTGGCCATTTAGATTTTTTATTAAACCAATCATAGTGACATATATTCACACAGTATAAAGGAATATTCCACACACACTGCATACACTCTGTGATGTGTTGACTTTCAGGTAGATTTCTCTATTCAGGTAGAACAGAATTAAAGGTTTAATTGCAGAGGTTCGTGGAGACACATTGACATGGGGACACAACTTGCATGTGTCCCATCAGAAAACATATTGATATCTTATGAAGCATTACGACACACACAGAACATCTGCAAAGAAACCAGCTAAAGACAGAATGTGTGAAAATGAGGCCAGGTGCCAACAGAACATTGCTATCTATCTATTCCTTAGTAGAAACTCTTCAGTGTTTGCCTTTGTTTTCTGTTGTTCACATTGTCTTTGATACTGATCACACTATGTAGTACAGGTATTCACATACCCTACAGTACATTGAAATTTGTATGATTTCAGTTGTCATGGCATTCCGCAGACTAAGAATTGAACTCATTCAACTTCTAGGTTTATTATTTGGTGTTTAAGTCATTGAAAGTTATTTACTTCTTTCATTTTTTTTTATTTTTTTCCTTACATAATACATCTTGTTAGTGGTTTTCTTCTAGTCTTCCCAGATCATCCCGATATCCCCTCCCATCTACCCCCTGTTTCTTTCTCTTATTAGAAAACAAACAGGATTCCTCTAGGATAGTAATAAGATATAATAAGATAAAACAAAATGAACACATCAGAATTGAACCAAACAAACAGAAAGAAAAGAGCCCAAGGGAAAGCACAAGAATCAGAATGTCATTCATTTGCACACCCAGAAATCCCATAAAAACACTAAACTGAAAGCCATAATATAAATACAAAGTATTGTAGGGCAAAAAGAGAGAAGAAAATAAAAATAATAAGACAAAATTATATAAGACATGACATTATAATACAAGGAGCCTCCAAAATGCCATTCAGTTCATTGTAAGTTGGCCATTTATTGGGCATGCAGCCTTCCCTGAAGAGTAGTTTGTTTTACCAGTGAGACATCCTTGGAGGAAACTAAATTTTTATTTGCAAGTGGTTATCAATTGGAGATGCTTCTGTGTTGGGCCATGTGTTCACTTCTTTCAGCTCTAGGATCCCAAATGGTGCAGACCCAAGTGGACCCTGTGCATGCTGCTGCAGTCTCTGTGAGTTCTTATGTACTTCCATCACAATGATTTAGAGGGCTTTGTTTTCTAGGTGTCCTCTATACCCTCTAGGTCTTACACTCTTTCAGCCTCCTCTTCCAGAGGGTTCCCGGAACCTTGAGGGGTGGGATTTGTTGGAGACATCCCTTTTAGAGCTGAGTGTTCGAGTTCTCTCACTGTATAATGTCTGGCTATAGATCCTTGTATTTGTTC